ATGATCCACTGAACTGTCGATCTCCTCCAGGCCAGATAGAGGGCCCAGAGGGCTCCCACCCAGCCGCATGAGGAGCTGGCCATTGAAGGCCTCCCAATCTGTCTCCCGCCAGTCAAGAACCCGCCTAACTGCAGCACGGCGTGGTCCCAGAGAAAGTCGAGTGACCACTGGAATGTGGTCAGAGCCAACCTCCAAGTTCTCCATGACTCGCCAAGAAACAACTCTAGACACAACAGTGGGGCTGCCAGCAGTGATATCGATCCAGGAAACCTGCCCTCTGTCCCCCCGAAAAGTGGGGGGCGAATCACTGTTGTTCAGAACAATCAAATTCTCCTGCAATAAAATGTCTTCCACTAGTTCACCCATTGCATTGAGCGGAATGCTCCTCGGCCCCCACAGTGGTGAGTGGCCATTGCAATCGGCGCACAATAAAATGCCGTGTGCTCGTTCTCGAGCAATCCCAAGAGATTGGGAGAGCTCAAGGTGACCCTCTCCACTAGAATAATGGAGATAGGCCGACAGAATTAAGCACGAGAAACCCGAAGCTCGAATCACCACTCCACACACCCGTATGCACCCCAACTCCAACGGAAGGAAGCTAATGGATTCTTTTACGGCAATGGTCACTTGGGGTGAAGATCCCCTTCCAAAAAGAAAGTGAAATCCCCCCCACTTGCCTATTGGTAGTTTGGCCTCCATTGGGGGGTCTTGTACAGCTACAATATCCGCCCCTTGCTCCCTCACTGCTTGCTCCAGCAACCTCCAGACCGGTGGCGAGTTGCGTGCATTGAGTTGTAGTACTTTCAGCATGATTCTTGGGGCCCACCCTTGGCGGATGGGCCGGGCTCGGGGGTGCGGTGGTGGGCCTCAGATGCAGGCCCATCTGCGTGGCTGGCAATTCCCGGGGCTCGATGGTACTGGCTGCTGTGGCTCCCCATTGCCCGGCAGAACTTGCAGTAAAACTGCGCCGGTACGTACTCCTTGTCACGTCGTCCGACAAAGTCAAACATCATCTCTCCGTGCTGAATGAAGAATTGCGCCAGGTCGGGCAGGAGGTAGACGCGACAGGCTCGCGTCACCCGCGATTCTGCCGCCTCCTGCCCCTCTCCGCCTATTGCCGCCCCCCCATGAGGCGCGCGAGCCAGCAACCGGCGCACCCGAAGCGCCTTCAGTCGTTTGGCGTCCTCCGGACGCAGCAGCCGAGCAGAGCCACGCGCCAATGCCGTAGCGACCGCCTCCTCCGAGGCGCGTTGATCAATGCCGTACACCACCACCGAGGTGGCGGAGGGGGAGCGCATGGGCTCCGGGATCCACTCGCCCTCGACGCCCGGCATGGGGAATGCCCGGCGGGGGATATACTGCAGGGCGGCGGCGGTCAGCTGGACCTTCCAGCCGTTCGTCGGAGTTCGATCGACGCGCTCCACCACTGAATGGGGGAGGCGCTCGGTCAGCTCGGGGATGCCGCGGAAGTTTTCCGCGAAGCACTCCCCAAAACGGTGGGGGTCAATGGGCTTCTTCGCCGCATCGGGGTCGGTGGGCTTCAGGAAGACAGTGCGGCCGGCATCCCATTCGAAACGCGGCGGCCTGGGCGCCGGAATGGCGCCGGCTTGGGCCACCACGTCGCTCCATCGGCGCCCGCCGGCTGGGCGCAGAATGGCGCCTGGGGGGCTTGGTTTTGCGGGCGGGTGGGCAGCGCCGCGCGAGGCCTCAGTAGCGCCCAAAGCGCTGCGCAACTTCTCGGTCTCCATTCCTATTAGGAAAGCTTCGAGGACGCCCAAAGCGTCCTCCGCGCGGTCGGCCAAGAGGAGGCCGCGGTCTCCATCGCGTTGACTTGGAGGCCGGCGCAGCTCCTCGCTCACGGCCCGCAGCGTCTTGCAGACGCGTCCGAACTGCGGGCCCAAGGCCTTCAGCGCGGCGGGGATGGCCTGCGCGGGCCCATTCCCCTCGGCGTGTTTTTTGGTTTTGGGCATGTTGTCCATGCCTTTTGCCGCTCCGCCGCCAGCGCCAGCGCCTTGGCCAACACCATGGCGCTTTGGCGCCGCCGTTCCCTCGCGTTCCGCCGCCGATCCCTTCCCCTTTCCCTTGCGTTTCCTGGGGCCTGCCGTGGCCCAATCTTCGTCGTCGGAAAGACAGCCCGCAGCCGCCTCAGAATGTTGATCTTCGTCCCCACAATCGCTGCCTTGGGCGGAGCCCAAGGCCGGGGGCGTTGGGGCCCGTGTGCATGCCGATGATCCCCGTCGCGTAGCCGTCTTCGTCGGTGTTCCCACGTAGATCTCGACCGCCTGGCTGCCTCCCCTCGCGCCGGCTCGGAGGGGCTGAAAGTCATCCTCGTTGTACTCGGCTGCTAAGGCCCATCGCCGGGCCTCAAGAACAGCTTTCGTTTCTCCTTTGGAAGTGCAGACCGTCTCCCATATGCTCTTGGGTACATGAACCAGGGTGGTTCGGTTGGGAGCGTCGCCTTCGCGCCTCGAGAGCTCACGCCACAGTCTCTCCACCTTTTCAGACACTGTGCAGTCGCGGTAGACAACTCCGTAGAGTTGACACATAGTCTTGAGCTTCTGGTCCGTCAGTTTCTCCAAGAGCCCGCGAGAAACGAGCTCCATGGCTGCTTGCCGCCGTCCCCAGGGAGGGGAGGCGAGGCGGCGTGCAGGAGGAGAATGTGTGTGTGTGTGTGTGTGTGTGTGTGTGTGTGTGTGTGTGTGTGTGTGTGTGTGTGTGTGTGTGTGTTGTTGAAATCCGGTTTGATTACATTAACCGAGCTCCGCGGCATCTGAGGCCATGTGGAGCCATCTGAAGCCATGTTCTGTCTTTGGTTCCGGCATTGTCTCACTCCAATGTCCGTGACTCAGATCAGAGTGTGTGTGTGTGTGTGTGTTCATTGAGCTGCAACAAAATGGAAAGCTGCCTCACGTAACTATCAAACCATCCAAAAGATGGACACTGCACAGGATTTTTACATTTCTCCTAAAAGTCCACATGTTCTTCGCATTTCCCACACTGCTTGTACCCCTTTTGTTCAGATCTCCTCCCCCATTTGAGATATTCTTGGCTCTTGATCATCAACCTGGCCCCTTTTCTCCACTTCTGCCACCTCTGCCAAGGTTTTCTTTGCGTCCATCAATGTCTCCTGCAGTTCATCCCACTCACCCGTGCATTCTTCCTCCGCTACGAGGCCCACCAAAGCACCCAGAAGACCATCACAGTCTTCTAGCTCCCAATTAGGGTGGGGTTTTACCATATTTTCCACAACGATCCGAACAGCCTGTTTGACTTCCTGAAGCGGCACATGCCTCCCCACTTTCCTAATGGAATCCAATAGATTTCTCCACTTGTCCCCAAGCAACAAATACCCAGTAATTGCTGAGGGTCTCAAATCCTCAAGCAACTGCACTTGCCGAGCTGTCAGGCTCTTTAGGGTGTGGCACAAAAGAATTTTATGTACATCGTAGCGAGGGGCAAACGAATTTACTGGCTGGGGCATTTCTATCTTCAAAAACTTTGTGACATTTTGCCCAAGCCTACTTGCCCCTTGTGTCGCATCGATGCCTAACAATTGCCCTGTCCCAAGTTTCGACATCTCTCCTCGAATCTCGATCACAGCATCGGATTTGCTAGACCAAGAGTCTTCCAGGGCAGAGAGAAGACGACCTTCATGATGAAACATCGTTTCCAGCCTCTTCAGGGCGCAGGTGTTTTGCATCATGGATGTGTCTACACCAGCGCTGTCTCTGCCTTCTACTGTTGATGCAACCATCGTGCTTCCTGTGCCGTTGCAAATGGACAGCACGTTCCTGCCATTTGGGGTGAGCAGCCTGACAATCACTTTTGCCTCGTCAATGGGCTTTTGAGTTTTCTTCACGGCGACGCGGTTGTCTCCCAACAGCGTGGCGTCAAGCTCTGGCCTACCATACCTGCTCTCCGCCAGTGGTTTTGGGAATGAGAAAATGAATTTCCCTCCAAGGAAACCACCAACACCCTCTGCTTGAACTGCTGTGGCACCGTTATTAAACTTCACAACAAGCAGCGGCTGGCAGTGGCCAGGTGTCCACGTTCCCGGCATGAGGTGGGCGGGGCCCTCCCTTGTGAAGATTCAAGTGAACTGGCCACCCCAGGAAACTCTAGTACTTTCTTCCGCCCACCTCCGTAATTCTTCCACCATCCTCCCGATGTCCTCCATCTTCAAGCAGATGGCCACGGACCACCCTTGAGTCTCTTCTGGCAGCCAGCGTCCTTCAGAGCGTTCAACACCCCACGCATCTTGGAGGAGGTCCAGGCACGGTCGTCTCAAGGATCATCAGCTTGTGAGTGTTTCCCAAGACCAAACGGGGGGTCCACGACAACACACTCTAGGCGCCAGAACGTCATTCTCTCCCTGATCAGAATATATGTTTCTGCCCTTGTGGCATTTCCATGAAGAATGAGTGTAGCCACTTCCTTGGCTTTCTGGGCTGATGTTGGTAATGAATCGTCTCCAAAATCAACGCCCAACCTTGGCGTCATGAACCTTGCCAACTCCATTGGGCCCCAGGGGACGAAAGCAGAGCGAGCGCACCGACAGTCTTTTGGGCTGCAGTCCTCCACCCACTCCACCAAGTCCTGAAGCTCTGTGTCATTGTGGCACTTGGTCCACCGGTCGGCACGGTCCTTGAAGGCTTTCCAGTTTTCGAAACCTCCCTCCCGTGGCAGCTCATCTACAATAGAGGCCTCGCAATCGCCCTGGTTCCCGTTGTGACCCTTGTCCTATCCTTCGCCCAAAACGCGCAACTCCACCACTTTCTCAGTCAATTGGGCAGATTCCCCTTCTTCGCTACCCAACTCCATTGGATCATCTTGCCCTTCCATCGCAACATCGCCTTCGACGTCACTTAGCGGATGTTGTCTTGCGTTGCTTCCAGTGCTTGGGACTTCAAGGAGTCAAAAACATCCCATCTCCACCCCAGTGTCCTGAAGGAAGCAAAGTCTTTCACTGTTCTCAACACCACGTTGCGAGGAAGGCCAACTCTCCTTATCAAGAAGTCCGACCACTTCATGGCGGCGGTGTCCTTCAGCTGAACGAATTCCTCCACATTGTCGTTGGCGATGTTGTCAGACTGGGTAAAGATGGCAGCAAACAGTAGGTGGTCAGCAAGCCACACATCTCAATATCCGCATCTGCTATTCAAGGGGGTGGCCTACCACGCAACAGGCATGGCAAAAGTTCCTACTACAACTGCAAGACATTGCCAAACGTGTTACCTGGGCAGCGCAACCCAGAAGCGGTCACGGGTCGCGATGCTTGTAGTACATTTCTCTCACTCGCAGTACAAAAGAGTAAAAAAGGAGCAGCGCCTACAACACTGCACTCATCCCCGGCTTTGCCATGCCGCCGGCATAGCAAGGAGACAACACAAAGCTGCCAGACAACCCACATTTCTCTCACTCGTAGAAAATTGTAGTAAAGGGGAACAGCGCCACTGTCATGGCGCTGACCCCCGCTTTGCTATGCCGCTGGCATAGCACGGGCACAACACAAAGCTGCCAGACTACCCACTTTTCTCTCACTCGTAGAACAATGTAGTAAGGGGGAGCAGCGCCTCTGTCCCGGCGTTGACCCCCGCTTTGCTATGCCGCCGGCATAGCAAGGGCACAATGCAAAACTGCCACACAACACACTTTTCTCCAACTCTAATTCAGTGGAACCAAGGTGGAGTGGCGCCTACAACACCGCACTCACCCCCGCCTTTGCTACGCCTCTGTCCTGGCGCTGACCCTCGCTTTGCTATGTCGCCGGCATAGCAAGGGCACAACGCAAAACTGCCATGCAACACACTTTTCTCCAACTCGAAGTACAGTGGAACCAAGGGGGAGCGGCGCCTACAACACAGCACTCACCCACGGCTTTGCTACGCCGCAGGCATAGCCACGGGACAACACAAAGCGGCCAGACAACCCACATTTCTCTCACTCGTAGAAAATTGTAGTAAAGGGGAACAGCGCCACTGTCACGGCGCTGACCCCCGCTTTGCTATGCCGCCAGCATAGCACGGGCACAACACAAAGCTGCTAGACTACCCACTCTTCTCTCACTCGTAGAACAATGTAGTAAGGGGGAACAGCGCTTCTGTCCCGGCGTTGACCCCCGCTTTGCTATGCCGCCGGCATAGCAAGGGCACAACGCAAAAATGCCACACAACACACTTTGCTCCAGCTCGTAATTCAGTGGAACCAAGGGGGAGCGGCGCCTACAACACAACACTCACCCCCAGCTTTGCTATGCCACCGGCATAGCAAGGAGACAACATAAAGCTGCTAGACAACCCACATTTCTCTCGCTCATAGAAAATTGCAGCAAAGGGAAACAGTGCCACTGTCGCGGCGCTGACCCCCGCTTTGCTATGCCGCCAGCATAGCAAGGGCACAACACAAAGCTGCCAGACTACCCACTCTTCTCTCACTTGTAGAACAATGTAGTAAGGGGGAACAGCGCCTTTGTCCTGGCGCTGACCCCCGCTTTGCTATGCCGCCGGCATAGCAAGGGCACAATGCAAAACTGCCACACAACACACTTTTCTCCAACTCGTAATTCAGTGGAACCAAGGTGGAGTGGCGCCTACAACACCGCACTCACCCCTGCCTTTGCTATGCCTCTGTCCCGGCGCTGACCCCCGCTTTGCTATGCCGCCGGCATAGCAAGGGCACAACGCAAAACTGCCACACAACACACTTTTCTCCAACTCGAAATACAGTGGAACCAAGGGGGAGCGGCGCCTACAACACAGCACTCACCCATGGCTTTGCTACACCGCAAGCACAGCCACGGGACAACACAAACGGCCAGACAACCCAAAAACTCAATGTCGTAGACCATCGTGCTGCAATGGCAGGTTTCCTCACTTACCGTGCAGACGGTGTAACCTAGGCGAAACAGCGGCTCCATCACAGCACTCTCAAGGTAGTTCACCAACTGGGCCTCGGAGAACAGCAGGTATGGCTGCCTTGCCAGCCATGCTTTTGCGATGTCCAAGAATGGCAATACGAAAAGCCGTTCGCTGTCTATTTTTCCATGTAGCCCGCTTCCGGCGCCTGTCAGGACAAGGTTGCCTCTCGGTACCATCCGCTTCACAACAATCGCTTTGTTCCAATACATCTCCCTAGTGGTGTGAAATTGCAGCTGATATTCACGAACTGGCCTCTCTTTAGGATTGCGAAGCTCTTTGTATTCGTCAATCAACTTCGTGAACGTGGCCACTGCAGCGCCTCCGCTTACTGTCCTTTTCTCATTGAGCGCCTTGCTGGGGACTGCGAACTGTTGCAGCCAGGACTTGTTGCTCACATCACGGGCAATCAGCTTCGTGTAGAAATCTTCGGCGTCCACATCCTCCTCAAAGAAATCCTGCACCTGGTCCTTGATGCGGGTGTCAGGAACGGGTTCTTTGCTGGAGGGAACGAGGCCCTGACAGAAGACCCTGAACGACCCGTTCGCGAACGTTTTCCTAGAGTCCTAGCAGTTCCAGTCCCACCCTGTGAGGTATTGCGCGCGGCGATCCCAGTCCACGTGCTTCTCTTTTGGCAGCAGCTCCGTCAAGCCATTTCTGAAAGCCCTGAAAGCATGGAAACTCACTTGCCATTGTGCAAATGCACGAATGCCGTGGAACCAACTCATTGTGGACATCGCCTGCCACTCGCTTCCCTGGTCCCTGGGATTGCATACCGCTGCAATGAAACTCGCCAAACTCGACCTTTTGAAGCTCTCTCCGTACAACAGCATGCCGAAAGTCTTCGTGTAGAACTGTACGGGGAACGAGGACGTGTGCTTGTAGTGGTGGCGCCTTACAACTCTGGCCTCCGTCTTGAGGTTTGCCTTCAAGCCAGCCATGAACCCGCTGTTGAGACACTTCAGGACCTCCATGTACAGTGCATGGGCAGTATCTTCCAGCATGGCAATATTGAGGTCTGCTTGAAAGTAACGGACAGTCCCCAAATCTCGTTCCGCCTCGGACAAAGACTTCTTCTTGGAGTCTTGCAACTGTGCAGTGGATAGCGCGAGGACACCAGTCAACAAGCAACAATACAACGACAGAACAAAATAACATCAAATGCAAATGGTGCCAGTGTGCAAAATTGCTAACCTTGCGAAACCTCTGAGTGTTGCTGGGGTCCTCTCGCCGCGCTGCACTAATTTTCCTGTCCCATTTTTCTTTGCGCTTTTTTTTTCTCTTGCTCGTAATCTTCCTTCCCACCATCGCCCACTGGCCTCTCCAGAATGGCCTCCAGAAAAGAATGGAACTCCAAGTACTGTGCGTTCTCCGCCTTCTTCCTGGACCTCTCCGGGCGCCCGTGTAGGAGTCAGTAGTTGCGTATGAACGGGATTACGTTGAGAGGTTCCGTGTGGCCCTTGTACGCCGTAGTAGTAGCCGCCCATTGCACAGCAAGGTTTTCTGTCTTGCTCATGAACCTGAAGTCCTCCTGCGTCAATTGATTTTCAAAGAATTCGTAGGTTCGGCGAAGCAGATGTGTGGCTCGTTCCTGCTCTCATCGCACAACATGTGCAGCCGACGAGTGGTTGCCAACGAGGGTGAAAAAAGGGGGCTTGGCCTGTCGCTCGTCCACTTCTCCACGGCTGCAAATAACAGGCTCGGATCCCCACGCTTCCAGCGTCTTCTTACCGTTTTGAGGAGGTCCTCCTCCTCTGGGTCAAAGATCACCACCGCAGCTGTCAAGGCGTTGAGGTCAAAGTTCTCTACAAGAGCGTTGACACGTTCTTGAACGTTCACGTGCTGGAGCAACTTCGTTTCAAGCTCCGGTCTTCTGTTGTAGCACCTAGGGTTGCCTGCCTCAGTGTACAAGGCGGCCTTGCCCAGCAGCTTTGCGTACGCCAGTTTGCAAATTGTGTCTTCACGGCTGGCGGTGGCTTGAGAGGCGTAGAACTGTTGAACGAACGTTGCTGCCTTGTTGCACACCAGCCTGTGTCGCCCATCGCTGTTGTCCGGAGGCACATATTCACTGAGTTCACTCACGTCATGAACAACAAGTTGCTTGGCTTCCGCCACCCTAAAGCTGTAACCCACGACAGCGTCAACCTCTTCCTCCTCAAATTCCTCCAAGCTCTGAGCAGTTGGGTTGGGCTCTCCTGCCTCCACTGCGGCGCCAATCCGTTCACCGACGAAATCCGACAACTGCTGTGTGGACAGTTCGAGGGACTTGCTTGCTGACTCCGGCCTGCCTTCGCCCTGGCCTTCCTTGCGATGTACTTGTTCAGCAACAACATTTGTAGTTGTGGCCTCCCTCCTCGATCGCTTTCATTGTCGCGCCGTAGACCCAGTGGAAACGTGCAGAGCGGGGCGAGTCTGAAAGAAATGCCAAAGTTTTTGTGATGTGAGCACTCAAATTTGAGCACAGTTGCATTGGCCAAGAGACACTGAGGGTAAGGAGTTGCAAAAAAGAAAAAAGGCAACCGCAACACGACTAGTGCTCAACTCCAATAAAAACTCAGCGCATCGTTTGCATTGGAACCTTGAAAGATTGCTACTCACTGTAGTTTTAGACGACTTCAACTTCTTCTTCGCAGGACTCCTGTCTGTGGAAACGTCCTTGGTCGTGTTCTCATCTGTAGAGCCACTGAGCTCTACGACTTCCACAGGACCCTCGCCTCCCTCTTTTTCTTCCTCTTCTTCTTGATCCTCTTGTTCACCACTGTT